GTAAATTACTATTGCATTTTTTTTGTATTTTAGATTAGTTTTGTATGTTAGTATTGTATGTTAGTATTGTATGTTAGTATTGCATTTTAGTAATATATTTTAGTATTATAAATTGCTATTGTATAGTAGTATTGTATAGTACCATTGTATATTAGTATTGTATTTTAATAATGTAAGTTAGTATTGTAGGTTAGAATTGTATTTTAGTATTTTATGTTGGTATTGTGTTAGTATTGTATTTTAGTATTTTGTTAGTATTGTATGGTATGGTAATCTTAAACCTGAATCTAAAAGTTGTCACAATTTATACATAAAACTCAATGTCGCTCCTTTAAATACTCCAAAAAAAATTAATCTGACAAGGTCTACGTTAGAATTGAAAAAAAAAAACACGTTTCAACTCAACTCATCTTTCCATATTTAGCTGCTCTGCTGCGTCTGGCGCAGGTAACGGCAACGAGTCCAGAACCGTCTACCCATGTCAGGATTTTGTGAGTTTCATTAATTTTTTAAAGATTTATTTAAAATTGATGTAGAATCATTAATATTTTATTTTTTTAATGTGATTTCATCCTTGAAATATTTAACAAAGTATCTTTTTAAAAATTATGTATGTTCTTCAATTCATTATGTAAATGAAGGTCGTAAGCAATATTCCTTTTCTAATGACATAATTAAATGTAGGGAGATGGTATTTCATCGTGTTCGTTACTATCGTATAATGACAAGCTATAAGTATTTCATTAGTATGTGTATACACAGTATTATAAAATTGTTATTTATTAAACCATTCGATGTGTGAAAAGAAAGAATCAACAACTTTTCACGACATGTTAATTTGTTAATAAGAAATCAAACACACTTTTATAACATTGACCAATAATTTTTGTGATTAATTTCCAGGTCATCAACTCACACGAGATGCTTCACATGCTGAATGGCGTTCACGTTCACCAAGGGTTCATAAGGGACAGATACATAACAATCAACAATGATAACATTCAGCCAAGTAAGTCATAGCAAACTGGGATGTGGTTGAGGTCGAACTGAGCTGACGAGCTGGCCAAGTAGGTCACATCAAACTGGGATGTGGTTGAGGTCGAACTCAGCTGACGAGCTGGCCAAGTAGGTCACATCGAGCTGGGGAAGTGGTTGAGGTCGTACTCAGCTGACGAGCTGGCCAAGTAGGTCACATCAAACTGGGGATGTGGTTGAGGTCGAACTCAACTGATAAGCTAGCCAAGTAGGTCACATCAAACTGGGATGTGGTTGAGGTCGAACTGAGCTGACGAGCTGGCCAAGTAGGTCACATCAAACTGGGATGTGTTGAGGTCGAACTCAGCTGAAGAGCTGGCCAAGTAGGTCACATCGAGCTGGGGAAGTGGTTGAGGTCGTACTCAGCTGACGAGCTGGCCAAGTAGGTCACATCAAAGTGGCATGTGGTTGAGGTCGAACTCAGCTGACGAGCTGGCCAAGTAGGTCACATCAAACTGGAATGGGGTTGCGGTGAAGCTCTCATGATAAAAGTTTCAGGTTTAAAAAAAGCGTTAACTCATTTTTAACGACAAGCTCAAACTGAACACTTTCACGAACCCCTTTCAACAAAGTCCAAACACTGGACACAGTGTCTGACAATGCCTTTAATGTACTGGGCAAGAGTTTCCTAAAATCATTGTGTCTGTGTGTTTGCGTTACTCATGATTGTAATCCTTATGCATCACCTAGGATGCAATCAACAATTTTTTCTCAAAAAGCATTGTTCCACTTAGGAAAGGAAGTTCAAACAAAACGATATTACCTTTTGCACAGACATGTTTTGCGTATTAAAATTTAGCAGTTTGTGTCTGTTTGAAAGTTTGTAAAGAATACAAACGGCCAGATGTATATACAATGTGCTTTTATACTGCTGAAAATTATTATCCTTTAAACAAATAAAGAAATACTGTTTTCCCGCTTAATTGCTATCCTTGGTATGAGCCAGAGAGCAAACACCAACTTAGCCGTACCAGGTTCAGATATTTCACTTTTCAACAGCCGTCAGGAACAACGAAGAGCATTATAAAGTTGGTAATTCTGTCAATAATTAGTATGAAACATCTGAAATGTCCCCAGTAACAAATTCAGTTGTCCATATCATAGTCTCGAAACGAAAAGTTGGCCTAAAATAATAGCATGCGCATATAAGTTCACACAAATGTACAAAAACAGACACGTTTACATATATATATATATATATATATATATATATATATATATATATATATATACAGAGAGACACGCACACACAACATACATACAGATTTGTTAAATTACATTAATATATATATATATATACAGAGAGACACGCTCACACAACATCCGTTCAGATTGGTTAAATTCCATTTTCGTTACACTAGATGTAAACATTGTAAGTTTTGAAGTGTTTCAATACAATTCCAGGTCTTCTGTTCTCCTACGATGCCTACCCTGACAACGGAAACTTCTACAACACTTACTTCGACCCAGCGTCCTCCCTCATGTATGGCTCCAAAGTGAGTGACTGATGTAACGCTGTTATAAGTAACAATGGAAACACGTTTCAATAGAATCACATTTTAATAGATACAAATGTCAGCAGACACAAATGTCAGTATAAACACATGTCAGTAGAAACACATGTCTGTAGAAACACATGTCAATGAACACACATGACAGCAGAAACGTGTAGTTGTTCAAACTCATTTCTTTATGAATACATGTCAGTAGAAACTCATGTCAGTGGAAAGACATGTCATTGGAAACACGAGTCAGTTAAAGGGTGCATTTTAAAACATTAGATTAGATTAATTGTTGTGTTTTTTTTTTAAATGCAGACAATTTAGCTCAAAGTAATTTCAACTCATGGTATTGGCTACTCTTAGTATTGGCTACTCTTGGTATTGGCTACTCTTGGTATTGGCTACTCTTGGTATTGGCTACTCTTTCGCCAAACATTGTTCATTATATCAGTGACCATTTAATTTTTTTGAAAGACTTTCATGTCGAAATATTTATAAAAGTGAATGATGTGATGATGTGTATACGATTGTTGGCATTCAACTTACGAAATCCGATCACATTGAAGCTGAATTCATGCTGATGTTCACTGGGGGCCTAAATTCGGCAAACAACTGACATGTGACTTGGAGCGCATTTCAATTAGCCCGCGGGAGATTTAAAAATTTAGAAGTAGCTTTGAAAATTTAATAGAGCAGCATAACATATTCGTTGTTGGCCCGGTGAATGAATTAGAAATCTTACTTTGGCAAAATATTACCAAACATTGGACGACCCTTCTTGACTTACTCTCTTACGTCTGCCTTTTTACTCCGTCTGGGGCATAGGCTGTCTACAAGAATTTTTAATACATCTCGGTCCCGTGTTTTTTTTTCCAGTTGTTTCCAGGTGTATCCAATACTTTGTGTGTCTGTCTCTAACTCGCATGTCCATGGATTCTTAGGCCTTACTTTCTTTCTTTATCTTTAAATGTTGATTCCATGTTTGAGAGTGTTTCGTGATGTTATCTGGGCGTTTACGAAGAGTGAGGTCTATCCACCTCCATCTCTTCCTTACAATGTCTTCAGCCGTAGGCTCCTGGTATGTCCTTTCTTGTAAGTCTTTCTTGGTGATGGTGATTGGCCATTTGATGTTCAAGATATTTCTAAGGCAAGTGTTTTGAAAGGTTTTGCTTTCTGTGTGATGGTCGTTGTTAGTATCTACATGTTGCCTCCATAGCGTAGAAGTGCTTGGCCTTTGGACTGAAAATTCATTCTGCGTTTTGTTTGCAGAGCCAGCTCCTTTGACTCCCATATTATTTTTAATAATGTAAATGTTGATCACAGCTTCCCAAATTCTAGCCCTAACATCAGCTTCCGAACAGCCACGTATGTCAATCGTGCTGCCTAAGTATCTAACGGTCTCCACTTCTTCCAGTGCATTGCCTGCCAGAGAAATATGCTAATTGATATTTTGAAGTGGCTTTTCGCACCCGGGTATCAGAAGGGAGAAGAAGGGATTAAAAAAAAACTATTTTAAATATTATTGTTGGGTTTGTAAGACAAAATGAGGTATTAAATAAAAGATAATTGAGTGGATTATATGTTTGTAAACTTACTTCTTAAATTTAACTAAAATAAACTACAACAAAAGAAATCCGAAGGGGATTCAGTCTTAAGGGACTTGGGTACGCATAGCCGCAATTCGGACCTGAGTCCCTTTAGAATCCTTGAAGTATTCCACCTCTCCTTAAGCTGTGCTTAATGCGAGCAGTGCAGGTGAGGCTGTCGATCCAGGATCGAGCATACGAGTCTCTCATTATGGAAGTGAACATAAAAAGAGGACGCTGCACCGTCGTCATAGGGAGATATACGAACACAAACAACTACAATAAAATTAATTTACAATACAGTCTGTAGTCATGACATCAAAGAATTAACGTATTAACCGAGTAACATATCTATCTACATGTGAAAGCGAACTACATGTGTCTAAATTTTCCGAATGTACCGCTCCCACACAATTTAGACATGGACCAGAAATGGTGACGCCACCTACTCGCTCATCAGAGAAGACATCGTGGCTAGCGGCATGTCCACTGATGAAGTCATATTTCAAGAACTGAACAAGATTTATAAGTGTAATGGTACGTTTATCTCCCCTGTGTCTTCTGCGTTTTTTATTTAATTTCGAGGTACTTTAAATGTTATTTCCCCCTTGTATTTGTTCAGGATTAAGTGTATTTTTCTTAACTAAGAGTTATGCATTGTATACTTTCCGATAAAGATTTATGCAATATCCACCTCTCTTCATATGAGTAGTGTAATATCCACTTCTTCTGAAATGAGTTATGTAGTACGTTTGTGTGTCTTTTTGAGTGGTGTAATTTTAATTTTCACATGTTTACACAAGATTCTGTAAATGTTATAATCTCATAATTTAGAAAATTTCTGCGGCAACTCAACAATCGACTGCGGTCTTGGATACTACGCTCGGGTCAAGGGCGTTTGTCGCTGTGTCTGTCCTGAGAACAGAGACGTCAGCACCAACTGTCAGACACTGAAAAATGGCCGTAAGCCTATGATACAAAAATTCATTTTTTCAGTTTCATAACATCACAAACAGTTTTACAATGTATTCATTTGATTGATATTAACCACGTATTCTCATATTCAATTTGCAATAAACTGGTGATCTCATAACACATTTTACTAACCAATTTTTCTTATGATGAATTAATATAAACGAATATTACTTGTATCTTCCAGCCTCGCCCGTGGCCGTTTGGCCAAGTACTCCCATCGTCCTTCTGGCTGGAGGCCCGAGCCATTCTTGCCCAACAGGTTTTGACTCAACGCCTGGTTGGTTTTCGTTTACCGGTAAATACGCAGCCACGCAGTCCCCCACGGGTCCTGTGGCCATACCCTCTTCGGGAACGACCATCTGGACTCCCATCTGTACCAAAGCCCCACCAGCAACCGTCGACTGGGAGTCTTGGCCCCCAGGTGGACAGTACTGCATCATTAAATACACAGGAGTTAATTGCGGCGGAGGTGAGATTTACAATGATATCCTTCAGAAATAACGCATTCCAATTCAGCCAATTGTTTAAATTGTTACACTTTTTTCTTTATCTTAAGAGTATCAAATTATTTTCTAAACTTAAAAAGATAAAATGAAAAACGGCTACTAAAAAATGTTGTTGGATCTTATAAAATAATATGCCTCTATTCATTCTTACTTGCTCTTCCCTATCTCTTTAGTGGTATAATTTCAAAGCTCTATTTTCAATATCGACACATTTTGTTTTTTAATGTATTTTGATTACAATTCAGATGACTCATTTCCCAGAGTTCCGTCACTACACTACCAATCTATAATATACAGAATTATCTCTGTTCTCTTGCGATAAACGTAAATAGAGTGGACCTATTTCGTTTTCAGTGAGCACATATTTCTCCTTTGTGGTTACTTTTACACACTGTCGCATTACTTTTTTTCTGTCCTTATGGTTAAAACGGGGGGGGGGGGTTGCATCTCTCGTCTGCCAGAAAGCTCATATGTCCTCTCTTGCAAGGGCATCACAGTCCAACCAACCACTGTTGCCTGATAGGTACCTTAACCCACAAGATCCAAAATTGCATATGAGGGTCATGTCACAACGACGATAATTCTACTCACCCAATCTGTAAGCCGTGTTCGGCTTTTTAAACTAAGGTGTATATTCTACACTCAGAAAATTCTGGAAACGGATTTTAATGGATTGTGCATTTTCTGACGTGAAAACTAAACCTAAGTAGGAGTGATTGTGGGCGTGGTACTTCCTTTATTAAAGACTTAGTCGGTCACGCCTATCATTAACGTAACATTGATTTTTACACCAGAGCAAAAGATACAAATTAAATACATTGATTAGGATTTGTTTGGGTTTTTTTTTTACGTTGCTCCGCCATCTCGCAAGGTTTTGTCGATGCGGGTGCAGAGTTCCAATCCTTAACCGCGGTGACCAACAACGGAAGTATCGGAGAGACAAGCTTCAACGGTTTAAACATCACGCAGAGATACTGCTGCCGGTACCAGGAGTTCTCAAGCATTGCTGTGGATCTCCCAGACGCTGAACCCTTCAGGCTTTTTTCAAGGGCAACATGTCCCACTATAAGAGGTAAGTGAGAAGCGTTCAGTTTTAATTAAGATTAGAAGGGGATAAGAATAAAATATTTGTACTTGTAAAATTATTAAGTTATTCTATATGAAGAAATATGGAGAAAAAAATTGCTATCATGCTTATAATAGGTAAAGTATGAGATATGAAAGAAACATGTGTTTTTGAAATAAAACAATAAGATTTTTTTTTTAAATGGTTAGTTCGTTTTTTTAAGGAAGCTTAAAATGGTGTAAAGTAAAGGTGTGACGACATGGCTATAACTGGGTCAAAGATGTGACGTCAGGGCAGTAACTTGGCCAAATATGTGACGTCAGGGCTTTAAGTGTGTCAAACAATTTCCATTAATCAAAGATAAATATATTAAAATTGTATGGCATTTTCATTTGGTTTTTTTCTTATGTTTTATTTGTATTTTAAAGTTGTTGTTTTTTATTAAATAATAATTTCAAATTTAGGTCTAAAGTCGACTACATCTAGGCACAACTGGTGGACAGGTATCAGCAGAGAGTTCGGCTCCACGTCTTCTCCCTGGTGGCTCTTTTCCACTGCCATAACCACCTATGTCTGCTACTACCAGCCTCCAACCTACGGTGAGTCCCGAGCACCCCCTGCGCGGTGGTAGGCTGAGATGGTGGCGACGTGTGGACAGGGGGGGGGGTGAAGATTATGAAGAAGGACACGAAGCAGCAGCATGCGCCATGACATATTACTGTCTAGAGAGAAGGAAACGTTTAAAATGAAGGCAGACGCATTTTAGGCATGCCTACGTTGGTCGCTGTCGATTATGTTTTTCCCCAATAGAAATGCTGTTAGTAGTATTGGCAGCTCATATTATTAAAAATACAATGTTTAGTAAATCTGTTTCCTGCTACAAGTTCCACACGTGTCGATAAGATAACACCTTATATTTGAGATTTTAAAAATGATCAACTTCATCGCCGTATTTTGACTTTTAAAAAAAATTTAGAATTAGATAAACACGGCTATTTTAATATACGAGTTTTTTAATTTTTAATTTATGCAACAAACATTTTTTTAGTGGATACCTTTTAAAATAAACAAATAAATAAATAACTACCTTATTTTGTTTCTTTGCTTTCTTGAAAAGGTAAATTTCTTTTATTCATTTCCTCAAAATAATACAGCTTTGATTTCCTTTGTATTGAGTTCTGTTTATTTCCCCACATATTTTTTGGCGGCGTATTTCACCAGGCTGTAACCAACTGGTCACGCTGAACGCCACGAACAGATCGGTCACCATAACTACGCCAGGGTTTCTCACAGCCAGGGAGCCCAACAGGAGGTGTTTCTACGCTTTCAACGTAAGCGAGTTCATTTTGTATGAAGTCATTACTTTGTTGCTGCGATGAAACAATGAGTTACAAATGCACCTTTTAAAAAAACAAACAAAAAAAACAAAAAAAACAAAAAACGAAACAATCGCTTAAATTCTACCGTGACACACGTTTGAGCTCAAATAAAAATATTTATTTAAAGACTGCGTACAAGCTTTGCGACGAATTAAATATTAAGAAAAGGAAATGAAACAACCTTAAGTGCAACGAAAAACCATCAAATCTCCATTCGTCTGTTTGCCTTCCTCTGTTAAACAAAAAACATAACCCAGACAAAAGAATCAAATTAAAATACCGCAGCTTGTGGGGTGCACAGAAGAAGACATCAGCGGAATGTTCAACTCATGCTTAAACAACGCCAGAAATAGTCATGCGCCTTCATTATTTTTTTGCCTGAATATAAGCTGTCGTCAACGTAAAAGAAATTTGGTGACGAAGTTAACAGGAAGTGTTTACAAACAATTTTTGAGAAGAGAAATTAAATATGGAGCTGTCGGTATTTAAACATATATTTTAAAATTGTCTGAATTTATGGACATTGTATTCAATGTTTTGCCCAGATCTTTAAGTTTAAGAAAGAACACATTTAGTAGATTATTCTCCTAAATCGCTTTAAAAAATGTTTTCTCTAATTAAAATAAATATTTTACTCTAGCTAAAGGTTCTTAAAAGCGTGGTACATAATTGTTATTTTCATCATAAGCAAACTGCACGTCAGGACTTCTTTCCCAACGCAGGTACCTCCAGACTCACAGTTGAGACTCACCTTTAACTCCTTGGAGCTTAGCACCGTGAACGGTGATGCTGTCCTCATAAGGAGATATCACCAATGGCAGGAGCCCTACAAGTGAGAACAACAGCACGACTCTTTTGTCACAGACATAGGCCTTCATGAAACATACACAGACATACGAAGACATGCATAGACATAAAAAGACAAAGATATACATATATAGACATACACAGACATTCAATGACATACATAGAGATACATGGACATACAAAGACTTATACAGATATATACTGACAAATATAGTCACACATGTATATATATATATTTATAACTATAAACACGGAATTTAAAAATAAAAAGCAGTGTATTGAATAATTATTTTTTAAACAGTTTTCCATTATTTCATCTCATTTAGGGTAGATGTAAACAACTGGCCATACCAGGTGATAAGCGAAAAAAGTTACCTTGACCTAGAGGTCTGGACAGGTTATGACGTAACCACCAAGAGGGGAGTTAATTTCACCGTTGATGTTGTTCTTTGTAAGTATGACGATGCCAGGGCAAGGCGGGATGGGGGGGGGGACGTGCAGTGGCGGAAGTAAAGCTTGAAGACGTGAATTCAAGGGAGGTTGGCTGAATAAACCTGGAACAAAAATTTCCATAGCTTCTCGCCCTTTTTAGGCTAAGCTCAAGGTGGAGTGTCTAAATCACATCCATGTGCGAAATATTTGATAATAATAACACATATATAACAGTAATATGAGAGATTTCTGAAGAATAAAGGAAATTTCATCAAAATGTAATATGTTAACTTTTCTATACATTGCAAACTATGCAAATCAGAAAGCTTCATAAGACAACATACGAATGAAAATCCCAAATGATAGTTTCAAATGCGTTACTTTTAATAAAGAGTAAGTTCATTTTCGGTTTCCACTATGTTGCATACTTTTGGTCACATAATTTGTTTTAAAATACAATATTAAAATTTTGTCATTTCCCTACCAGAAATTGTTGTTCATTTCCTGTCATAAACGTAAATAATATATTTTAAAAAATGTATTCTCTACTTGATGATTGTTATATGAATAAGACTATACTTTGTAAATTAAATTTTATTTTACAATATGCAGCAAGGTTTTTAAAATGTTTTTTTAAAAACTTATAAAGGATTTGTGGAACCTCAAGTTACATATTACGATTTTCTTCATTCGTTCATCTTTTGTATATGAAAATAGTTTACTTTTTGTTCTACTATTTTTATTTATACTAAGAAATTTCTTTCTTCCCACTGTGCGCATTCCTGACAAAGATGATTTCAATTTTTAAATTATTCAGCTGAAGATCTGTGTTACAATGCTTCATCCAATGGGGCCGACTACATTGGCAGTGCATCAATCACCGAGACGTATGAGCCTTGCCTACCCTGGTCTAAGGCCGTAGACTGCGCGGACTTTCCATCGTGAGTGGAGTTTAATTCTGTTTAATTTTAACTTAACCCCTGGAGCAGAGTGGGATTCTGTTTGACAGGTTAAATTTTTATTTGATAAGAATTGCAGCAAATAATAACTTTAAAAACTTATCAGCCAACAATAGCTGAAAACAATTGCAGCTTCAAAACGTGCAGCTAATAATGACTTAAAATAAAAGTAGATAAAAATTGCCTTTAAAACTTACAGGTACAGATAGTTTCAAACGCAAACGTTTATTAAAAAAACAAACAAAAAAAAAGAACCAAACAAAAAACAAACTTGTGCCTATTTCTTTCCCAGAGCTGATGCGGAATGGCTGATCTCGTCCAGCAACTATTGTAGAAATCCACCCAGCAAGCTGCTGTCTCAGCCTTACTGTTATACCAAAACAAACGGAACCAATTGTGAAAAAAAATACTGTGATGTTTGCAACCTCAGTGAGTACAGCAACAATTGCTGATTCCATTATTACAATCGCTGATTCCATTATTACAATTGCTAATTTCATCATTAAAATTGATGATTCATTTATTACTTTTATTTAATTTAAAGTAGCGAATTGGTGTGTGTGTGTGTTTTCATCTTTCATATTGATTTTAATTTTTAGTTAAAATTGGCTTTTAAAATTTACCTTTTAAATGCTTCCAAAAATATTTAATGTTTTTTATATATATATCAATGTATATATTACTATTATAAGAATTGAAAAAATCTGAAGTAAAAAATAACAGGTGACACATTGGCAAAGACTTAGGGACACTACTTATTTATAAATGTTTCTTTGAGACTAAACCTGATACTCATATGGATAAATTTTTTCGATATAAATTCTATTAATAAATCATTGTAAAGAGGCGAATATTGGCTGTTTCCTCGTATTCCTCAGAGACACCAGTTGACGTCATCAAGAAATGTGCAGCCCTGATAGCCGCGGACCCAACCTTCTGTGCCACAAGCGTTCAGCGATACGGTTGCTTTGTGTCGTGCAACTACGCGCAGCCCTCTACCAGCCGAGGTATCACTGTCAAAATATTTAGATTTAATTTATAAGGAGACCGATAGAAGTATTTCCGGTTCGATTGACAAATATTCTGAAATGTTAAATTAAATTGTGGCTCTTTAAAACATGCTAATACATATTTAGAACTGACCAAAGAGAACGAAATAGCAATCAGATTTCAAACCTGGGAAAAAAAATTAATAAACAAGTCGTCCTGCCTCATTTAAGTTTCAATCTTTATCAGTTAAGGACATTTTTATACATGCAGATTTTAAATTCATAGTGTAAATCACGTTGTAAAAATCATAGTATCTGTAGATACTGTAGAAGTCACGTAAAGCAAATTTAACGAGTTTGTTTCTGGTCTATTTCTGGCCCAGGAACATGCGGACCTCCGACCATCCCATCCGATGGTGCCCTGGTAGGCACATTGAAATCCATCTACAATGAAGGCGAGAGGGTCGAGGTCAAGTGCACAAATGTAAATCTGACCCAGGCCAACAACGTCGTGATGTGCACCAGCAGCGGATGGACCACACTGTCCAAGGCGTGTCGAGGTGCAGCCCCTTCACTCCCACAATCCATTGAACGATTGCGTCAATGTTCACAAAAAAACTGGGTTGTTGTTGTTGATGTTGATGTTGGTTCATTGTTTGGCTATTGAATATTACTAACGAATAATCATAATCTGAGACCCACTGAATGTTTGGGAAATTAACAAAACTTTTAACATACGATCTCAAAGTTCGCAACTTTAACCTTGGCAATAGACCGGCAATTTTTTGGTCGTGCAGATAAAACTACTCCATTCTAAAGGAATCAATATATTTGTAACAATAATAAAGTAAATCCTAACCATTGCGTTAACTTTGTTTCAAGCTGTAGAACACGCGTATCTTTTGTTGTTGAACAATTCTAATGTCTTTATTCCTTGTCGCTGTTGCTTTTATTTTTATTCATAGTCCTTTAATATATTGCATGGTCTCGCTTGAAAATGGAAATATTCGAATGGTATTTCCTCGAAAAATCATTTAAAGTATATATATAAATATTTTATTTGAATGACCGATACTTACCACGTCTTAACAGAGTGCCCCCTGGGCTGGGTTAGCAATGGCAACCGATGCTTCAAATACTTCACAGACAACAAAACGTGGAGCGCCTCCAGATCCATCTGCGCAACTTTCGGATCTTCTGGAACTCTCTTGCGTGTCAGGGACCTTACTGATCAGAAGATGATTAGAGACTACAAGAATTTAGTTGGGAGCACGTGAGTTTAACATACAACACTATATACACGTATTGTTACACTTTGGCGTAGCTAGCGTTGGGGTCACCCGGTGCGGTAGACTCATGGTGTCCCCCCCCCACCCGCCCGACTTCCACCTTTCGCGATGGATTTCTTCTTGTTAAAAAAAGTCAAATGTATAAAAATGACGAGAGCAAAAACAAATTAATTGAAGGCCAGGAGGAAAATGTATTTCAGAACTGTAACATGTACTTAGAATCGTCCGACCACATCGTGTTTGGTATCAATGGTAATTTTTATTTCTCAGAATTTAGATAAATATAGCTTTCTGTCACTCAAGAAAGTTACTGAAAACTTCAATCGGAGTTGAATCATGGTCAAAACGGTGTTTTATGACCTAATTATAGAGTCACAACATTTCTGACGCATCAACTTTGAAATTTTAATAAAACACGCATTTTGATTTGTTACATGAGTGGACACTTAACGTGTCAACGTTTACCCTACCATGGAATTCTGTTAGACAGAGCAGTGTACGATCTGTAAATATGCAATTTATCAATGCGCGGTCACCCTTGAGATGGTGTCACCCTTGAGATGGTGTCCCCCTTGAGATGGTGTCCCCCTTGAGATGGTGTCCCCCTTGAGATGGTGTCCCCCTTGAGATGGTGTCCCCCTTGAGATGGTGTCCCCCGGTTCGGTCCGAACCCCCGCATACCCAAAGCTACGCAACTGTAGTTAGAGTAATGTCTGGGTGTGAGAAGCCGTTCTCTGACAACACGAGATGCAAAGAAAAACAAAATGCTTAGTTCAGAAGTTCTTAGGGTAATAATAATAATAATAAGAGGTCTTATATAGCGCGGTACCCCAGCCTAGGGCTGAGCTCACTGCGCTGTACATAAAATTTTTTATCAAAAGAAACATAATCATGACATTAAAATAAAATAGGGTAGTCGTAGCAGTCGTATCGAATGTTTTTCTCTTGGCTTATGGCCATGTTGTGAAACTCTTTCAATTTACGACATAAACCACAGTCATTTTTCCAGCATCAAAGTCAGGTTTTAAAAATTTAAAATATAATTAATCTTCTTTCTGCCTGAAGGAATCGCCACTAGCTCTAATATAACAGATGTATGTTGAGGGAGTTCTGATGTGTTTTCGTCCAATGCAAGTTGTTCAACCTCATCATACTCTAAAGCCTCAATGTTTACTAACATCCCCAAAGTACTTTCCCTATTCTTTTATATTACCACTGACCATGTTATATCCATTGGCCAATAGAATCACGCACGGCAACTGGATAAGTGGACGCCTGGCCTCAACGACAGGCCCCTGGCAATTCACAGATTCAAGTATAACGATGACCTACTTCAACTGGACCTCTACTACAAGTAAGCTATCGTGGTGTTTTCTACTCCAAGAAAGATAATGTGGTGTTAACTAATACAAATTAGCTATTGCTAAAACTGCCACAACAAGAAAGATGTGATACTACTACAAGTATTTTATTGTTGTATTTTCTTCTAGTAATTTTTTTTCTAATACCGGTAAACGTTATCTAAAGTTAAACTTAATATAACAACATCTTACCTAAAACATTACCGACCTATAATTCTACTATCCCGAATGTTTTCATTTCCTCTAGTCAAAAACAGCTTGTCCTACGACTGCATCAAGCTCATCGCCGAGTACGAGGCTGCCAACAATCAGGGCGGCTGGAAGACCATGGACTGTGAGGGAACGCACGCCTGTCCTTACATGTGTCAGATTGACAGCAATGGTGAGTGGTGACTGGCGTTAAATGTTTAAAGATTATGCATGCAAGTGCGGCAGGAAGACGTTGATAACTCGATATTACTCTTGCGTACGTCTTAGTTGAATGAGACTGTTAAATAGATATGTCAAAATTGTGTGAGGAAACATTACGCCAGACTACTTTTTTGCCCATTGACGTGGCAGATGTCTGTTGAAAACTGTCACGCTGCGTGTAAGTGGCAAGAGCATCTATAGTACGCCCGTAAAGCACTTTTATATATATATATTTTTTTTTTTTAAACAATTATTTCAAACTTTTTAAGATTTGTACGCAATTCTATAAGTCAGCGGTTCTCAACCTATGGGTTGCAAACCCCTTTTGGGGTCAAACGACGCTAACGAAGGGGTCGCCTAAGGCTAGAACCATCGGAAAACACATATTTATGAAGAAGAAACGAAAATAATTTTATGGATGGGTGTCACCACACCATGAGGAACTGTGTTAAAGGGTCGCGGCATTATGAAGATTTAGATTCACTGCTATAAATTGTTGATATTTTTTTTTTAAATGGTAAAAGGGGGGCGGGGGGGGGCATTATTTACATATTTGAATATCGCTGAATAAAAATCACCATGTTATGAGATATGTTATTATCAGCAAGCAATGGCGTAGCTAGGGTCAGTGCCGCCTTGGACGGGACACGCTTTTGTACAGCCCCTTCCACGAAAAACCCCCCTGAGCATTTGGCCTTTGATGCCGCTCCTCAATATAAGGGAAAACGGTGTCATCCGGGGCGGACCACCCTCTCCGCACGCCACTTTCTACGCCACTATCAATAAGTACAATTCATAAAAATATACCGAATAAATTTTGAAATAAATGTTATATAAATGGTTTTATTTCATTAAAAGCATTTGCTTTTTTGGTAATACGATTAAAATTTATAAGTTAATCTTAATAATCATTATAAACTTCCTAAAAGATAATTTAGAGTAAGTGGGCTCTTTCAAGGTGTGTTTATCAATGGGATAAGAATAGATCCAGGAGATTTTTTTTCCACAAATCTATCTGTGTCACTTACATAAAAGATGTTGTCGTAATTCAACCATGTGCCCCCAGGACTGTGTGCCAACAAGCTGAGCTTCTGCGATGCTCTCCTCGCTGCCTTCCCTTACTACTGCTCCCACGCCAAAACCGTGACCGGCTCAGACCAGTACTGCGCGAACTCCTGCGGAGACTGCACAGGTCAGTTCCAGCACTGGCTCGATCACGTGACATACATTAACATGCTTAAAAGTATGATGGGAGGGGACATAACACACAATCTACAGATTTATTTAGGCGGACACAACACATTTATTATTTTACAGAGGTGTCGCTGAAATCGTGATTTAATCGTCATAGAATTTTCTTTTCATCAATTATTCTCCACTCTGATCGCTCAGGCTCACCAACCTGCTCTACACCCAGTAGCAGCAGCTACACCAGAACCTCCGCCTCGGCCACCATTAACCCCGGACAGGTCATGACCTTTGACTGCAAAACTGGGTACTACTACGCGTCCGGTGACAAGGCCAGGGCCTGCTCGTCCACTGGAAACCTGCTGGGATCAGAGCTGGTGTGCTTAGGTGAGGGACGTCAGTGTGGAAAAACTGGTTCGAGTGAGGTACAGCTAGAACGATGGACATTATTTGGGGTGCCATCAGCCGAGACGAATGAGTGTCAAATGTTACTAAATCAATTAAAATGGCAATGTATTTGGGGAAATTAGGGGTATCAAAGAGACGATATATTTTTTCGTTTTTATTTTAAACTTAAACCATACAATGGTTTTTTTAATTAAAAAAAAAAGAATTTTGAAGCGGGACTGTGCCCTATACAAAATCGAAAAGATTAATATTGATAATTTACTCCAGTTTCAAACAAATGCCGAGTCATCAAAATACAGCATGTACCCGCAAATATGGCTGGAGTATCTCAAAGGGTATCTAGTTTTAAATACGTTAGTGTCTTCAAAATTGATAATGTATTTTTTTTTAAAACTTTGTGAAGTGACCACCACCCCCCTTAATAAAAACAACTAAAATAGAAATAGACATAATTAGAAAGCATACGATTTTTAATCTCAATGGTTAAAATGTAAATCGTTTAAACTCTGTGTACACATAAGACAAAGAAAACATAGAGATCCAACAAACAAAAACGATTATATTCTTCTAATGATCCAAATAAATAGAAACGTTTTTGAATTGCATTGAACAAATTCATATTTAGCACATAAATATAAACTTTGAACCTGAGGCGACATTTCACAATTACAACAATTTAGACAGCATACGTTTAAAGTATTTCTCTTGCCTAAATAGTTAGCATTATGAAATAAAAAAAAAAGAACACTAATTAATGTGTGTTTTATTTTCTCTTTTTGAATTCTGGCGTAACAGCCCAACCTTCACCGGTTGACGTCAATCTAAACTTTGTGGGCAAACGTTTGGACGTCTTGCCTGCTAAACTCGCTTTGCTCCTGGACAGAGATGGCTACAGGTTCAATTCATTATCATCCTTTTATATGCTTTCATCATTGCAACTTCAAAAAATTTTTTTTTTAAATTATCTTAGATTTCTTTCTGAGTTCAATATCAATGTAATAGTCCCCCCACCCCCGCCTCCCCCCCTGCCCCCCCCCCCAAAAAAAAATATATATTTTTAAAAAAAAATAAAGTTAAAAAAATACATCATAGTTTTTACTGTACTTTTAAATTTTATATTTGTACGAAATATGCATGTTAAACTGTAATTTTAACTTTTTTTTTTGTTTTTAGAAAAGTAAACATTTATTTTTTTTCTTTTAAATATTTTCCTGTTAAATGATGTTTTTTGTTAAATATTGTTTTAAATTTTATAATTTTGCAATGTTCCTATGTTACAATGTTACAGAGTTCCATTCGCTGGAAAGATCAGTACCTGGTACTACTACAGCAAGACACCGGGTGATTTGAACTTCTTGGTGTATAGGAACAACGGGTAGGATAACTGCCCCCCACACCCTATGTTAATTGAATTAAATTCATTCGTTATAACATCTCTGAAATTCCAAGGGATAAATATAACCAAAGACCTTTAGGACTACATTGAGATCTTCGAACAAATTTAGTTTTTAATTTCTTTTTGTTGTTTCTTCTTCGTCTATATATATCAAGGGCCCACGATCAATTTATTGATCCTTCTGGCTCCTATGCATGAAGAGAAGATTTCAAATGTTTCTGTGCATGGCGTGGAAGAGAATATTTCGATGGTAACGAGGGCTACTTAGTGACGGTATCGTGTACTACGGTTTGGAAGGCCTGAGGCAATACACGCAAAAGTTTCAAGTGTTTTCGCCCCAGCTGTTCTTTTTTGGGAGCTTCTTTTGTCTTGTCTGCTGAACAAGGCATTCAGCCGTGAAGTCCTTTCAATTGTCCTGTCTTTTTTTTTCTAGCCCTCACATATCTTGTTCCAATTTTTTTTTCAATTACCTCTATAAATATCACTAAGGATGATAAATAAATACAATAAATGCAATGAACTCATTTAGCTTACATCGCTAATTTGTCTTTAATTGGGTTCAGGGAAAAATTAAAAGTTGAAACTCTCTCTTGGCACTGGTTCTATCAATACTTGTGTAACTGCACAGCTCATAATTGCCGAATTTTTTTGTTACATTTATGATCTTTCTGTCACAGCACTGCTTACAACTACATTGGCGCCAACTCCATCACTTCTGACGCTGACTACAGATGGGGCTGGAAGGTTCCAACAGCCAATCAGATCACAGTGCAGGCCAACGACATCGTCGGTGTCTACTCGACCGCCGCCAACATCCTGTCCGTGACGGACTGCAACGGCGCCATTGAACTTATCTGCGTGTACCCCACGGCTTCCGCAAACACCCTGGCTGAGCTACCGACTAAACCTTACTCGACCACCAGCTGCTTGTGTCCATCTCTAGGATTCCGTGTGGACCCAGGTAAACGTTCTCAAGGGATTAGCGCAGTGGGCACCAACATACATGATTTGGTCATCCTGGTTCCTAAGCAATGCACTGAGGACGTTTCTATTAATTCTCATTGTTTCAGAAAATAGAACATAAACATATTAACAAAATGCATTTTGCCATAGAAGCAAGACTTTAACTTGCATTAAAAGCGTTCCTTTCATCTCAAAATAAGATCTTTTAATATGTTTTTTCAACTCGAGCAAATGAGTGCAAATAAGCTGTTCTTATTCAATCCTCACATTGTTGCAATGATCAAATTACAACATAAATATGCTTTTGATATTTTTGTAAGTAGCGATAAAGATTATATCCATTTAACTTATTTCAAAGACCTGCAGTCAGGGGGACATATTTCCAAATTAAAATGCAAAACATTTTTATTTATTCTACAAATCCAGTATTTAATTTAGTTTACATTGTTTTAACTTTTCAGCTTAAGCATTATTCCTCTACCAAAGAAGCCACAAAACACTGGGCGAACTTACTCGTGGCGCTAACGATGTCAGAATTTGGATGAAATAAAAAAAAATTATTTGAGAACATCCCTTGTCGTCTGTCTTTTATTTCTATAATACAATTGTAAAGAGTGGTGTTATTAGAAGATAAAACACAGAGCTTATCAACGGGTTTGTGGATATTAAAGTAGAGACTGCGTTCAAGCCTTGGGGATGAAATCGAAGAATCGAATCAGAATATGTTAACCTTATATACCAAAAAACAGACAAAAATCGTTTAAGCTAAAATTTCATCAGCAAATACAATAACAAAGGAGAATAAGACATTCAAAATATAACTGTTCAAATATTTTTTTTCCTTCAAATTTTCCCAAATTATATTTGAGATGTGAACCTCAGTTGCACTATTAACCCGTGAAAGAATCGAAGTATGTTAAGTCTGTGATTGCAAAGCACCAAGTAGGATTATCAATTAAGAAAATATATATAAATGTTTATTATAACTACGAGTAAAAAAAATTAATGCATTTACACAACCAAAGTGGATTTTGTGCTAATATTTTCGTTACATCTCAATATGTATAACTGGTTCAAACATTGTTTTAAAATCTTACGACTGGTTTCACTTACAAATGGATTATCTTTATTGTTTTGTAACGTCCTGTAATTTCCATTAGGTTAGCTTAAAAATAACGTGGATCATCAGATGTGAACAAATTTTGAAAGACTCCATTGGACACCATGAATTAAAGAGGTCATTATCAAACCTGAAACCTTTATGACAAATATTCTTTCCCCTGGAAAGGGTGGAATGACTAATGACAACTTACTAGACAAGTTGATGATTATAATGTGTGCATTATAAATGCAGTCGCTATTATTAAATGTATACTACCCCTTCTGAAGTTTTGTCTGACTTGGAGGTGAAAAGAAACTCATATACGGTATATTAACGTGAGTTGCATATATATTTGATGATAAATATACTTGAAGCTAATGTTGTTCGAGTCTTACACAAATTCGATTATAGATATCGTACTTGTTCGAAAATCTGCCGCGCCCAAGTCTTACTTCTCACTGTTCTCATATATTGTTATGTTATTTTTATTTAATTATGTTTGGCAACTTCACAAGTTTAAACACTTTATGAACACGGTGTTAAACTACCTGTACAACAGAATCAAGGTCTATAATTTAAGCACAGTTCCTTCTAAGTATTAAACATGTGTTAACTGTTTTCAAGATTATATTTCATCAACATGAATTTTAAAGCAGGGTTAGGTGTTAATTATAAATTGTATCACGGCCTCATTCGATGAAGACATTGATACTTTAAAAAAAAAAGAAGAAGATTTTAACGTGCCCATTCCATCAATTATCATATCGAAAGTGATTGTATTTTCTTTAAATATGAACCTTTTGTAACAAAGTTTCCAGAACAACAGAGTTTTTAAAAAAAGCAGCCTATATTTTTTAGATTTCCAACGTATTCTCTCTTTTTAATATCACAATACTAAACAATCTGCCTTACCTATTTACAGGCACTTTTAAAAAAAATGTTTATATTAAAATCCACTAGAAAGCGAAAAAAGACTTTATGTGAAAGAGAATTTCTATAATTATGCCGAATCCATTTTTTAAGGACTAACTTAAAGAAATAATTCTTCTTCCTCAAATCGTCTATTTAAAAACAATTTATATGGATATGGTTAAAAAATAATGTGTGTTAGATTATATTGAAGAGGCAATTTGTTATTTATCTGCAGAAAGTTGAGGGCGTGTGCCGATATATTACACTAACTTAGATTATATAACATAACGATTTAGGAGATAACCTATGCGCAATGCTAAATGACGCTAAGTTCGTACGTACTCTCTAGTGCAATGGTTTCCATCCTGTGCTCTACTGTGCAACTCTTAGGGCTCCGCGGTGCAACTCTCATGGTATTCGCGGTGAAACTCTCAGAGCTACGCGGTGCAACTCTTAGGGCTCCGCGGAGCAAATCTCATGGCTTCGCGGAGCAACTCTTATGGCTTCGCGGAGCGACTCTTAAGGCTCCGCGGTGTAACACTTGGGGCTTCGCGGAGCGACTCTTAAGGCTCCGCGGTGCAACTCTTAGGGCTTCGCGGTGCAAAACTTTCATGGCTTCGCGGTGCAACTCGCATGGCTTCGCGGTGCAACTCTTAGGGCTCCGCGGTGCAACTCTCATGGCTTCGCGGTGCAACTCTCAGGACTCCCCTGTGCAACTCTCAAGGCTCCGCGGTGCAACTCTCAGGACTCCGCTGTGCAACTCACATGGCTCCGCTATGCAACTCTTAGGGCTCCGCGATGTAACTCACATGACTCCCCAGTGCAACTCTCAGGGGCGCCAGGCTATAAAATAATACTAATAACTCGTTAGATATCAGCGAGTTCTAATGCCCTCCTCCTCCCCCCCCCCCTTATTAATTCATCCAAAAAGAGCTCCTGGGTCAAAATGGTGGGGGGAAGGGGCGGCCAGCGCCGCGGCGAATGGGTACTATTTTTAAAATCAATTTTCTGAATAAAATTTGGGTCTGCTGCTGTATAAACCCTGTAGTATTTAAATATTTGACTTTTAACTTTGCTTCTTTAGCATGGACATCAGCACGTGAAACTGTGAGCTACGTCACTGTCTCTAACTTAGTGGCTACAGACGTGGGCATCATATATCTACAAATGCCTTTAATGGCGGAGCTGGTGAATGAGGATGTTTAGCCGTATGTTGTTCCAAAAAAAAAAATTGATTCACACGGCTGTTCCATTCGAGCGAATCACACCATGGCGTCACCCACCAACGTCACCAATATGTCTGCCCTTGTTTTAAGCTTACAATCGGGAGCTCAAAGTCACAAGCGTACCTAGATGTTGTGGTAAACCTGTAAGAGAAACCGGTATTG